GCGCTCCCGGGCCGCTCCGTCGGGGCTGAGCGCGCGCTTCGGGCCGCGCGGAGCCCCCGTGGACGGAACGGCCGCACGCCGCTGCGAGCGGGGGGACCTCCGGACCTCCTGCCGCCGGGATCTGGGGCGGCCGGCCGCCTTCCTCGGGTGTGCGGCCAGGCCGGCTTCGCGCCCGTGCCCGCGCGGCTCCCGCGCCGGCCCTGGAGAGCCATTTCTTCATGCAGACCCCTCGGCAGCGCTGCCACCGCTSAAACGTTTCATCCCCTAATCGCTCAAATGCATCTTGGATGGAAATCAGCTTCACAGACAATAATGGCAGATTGTGGCATAATGGCACCAYACACTCATTTCACCGTTTCCAGTAAAACAGAAAAAGAAAATAAACCAGSCCTGGCATTTCAAGGCAATTATTCAGACGAGTGCAGAGATACAGAGCAGCACAGAGGAGCTGGACAGCGTCAAATCTTTTTAATGCCAAGAGATAACCCGATAAAGCTGTCAGTTACCGTGCAGCGGGCGAGGCAGGCACCGAGCACTTGCAATCGAGTTGGGGCTCCTGTGACCCTCCCCAGCGCTCCCCTCTGCTCATGGGCTGCACACAGCGAGACACCTCCACAAAAGAGTGGCTGTGGCGCGGCCCTGGGCACTGCCCTGATGCACGGGGCCGAGGGGCGCACAGAAAGCTGCCCTTGCAAAYGCAGCCACCGGGCCGTGCAGGTGGGCGGCTCCTGCTCCGCAGCACAGCCCGCTCTTTCTTCCTCCTTTGGCTCTCTGGCTTACAGATTTGCAAGGCAGGGCCTGATGCAGCGAGGTTTCAAACCTGCGGACATCCTGCACTCCCTCCTGTGCTAACTCAGCTCCTGGTGCACAGGGCAGTTGCTGCAACAGCAACACGCATTCCCTCGCTGCTGGAGGCAACTTGAAGGAGCACTGCCTTGTTTTCCGGCGCGTTGGGACCGGGCATGCTAGTGCCTGGGCGTTTTTCCTGCTCCCTGAGGGCAGTGGTGGGCACGGAGAGCCGTGATGGCAGGACGGCTCGTTAGCGGCAGGCAGCGGAGCCGCCGCACCGTGGAGCTTCCTTTTGCGTTTTCCTCGCTTGGCAGATGTTTTCAGTTGCCCAGCAGCCCCAACCAGACAGCCTTGTGTCGCCTCACCCGTGTTCCCCCACAGCACTGGCACGGGTAGCCTCACCAGCCCTCGGCACCGCGGCTCCTCCCAGCAGGGCCCCTGCTAATTTTAACCACGGGGCTGGGAGCGGGCAAGCCTGGTCCAGGGCCTCCTAATAAAGCCATTTGCTGCAGAAGGAAAGCACAAGGCCCCTGTGCTGAGGCTTGGAGCTGGCGTGCAGGCACAGCCGCAGCAAGCTGCCCAGAGCCGGCAAAACAGAGCAGGGACAGGAGGGAAAGGTGGGCCCAGCCCTGTGGCTGCTCTTAACCCAATGTTCTCCCTCCCTCCCTGTCTCCTTTAGGCCTCCTCACAGCTGGCCCCATTCCTTCCCTGTGARGCCCAGGGACACCACGCCAAGCCGGGCCTGGATTGACTGTGAAAAGGAGCAAATCTGAAATTATAGGAAAATGTTTTTATAGAGAAACATCACCTAGAAACTTCCTCTGCACAGCTATATAAACAAAGATGTTTTGACGCAGCAGAACAAGGAGCCATAAAGGGGCGCTGGGGGAAAACGTGGCTAGCTGGCAGTAATTCCCATGGTGCCTCTCAGACTGGGTTGCTGTAACCTGTCCTCCCTGGCACACCGGCTTCACCGCCGGTGGAGCAGCCGGGCGGCGGCACGGAGCCGGGCTCCCGGGCAGCATCGGAGCAGAGAGCAGTGCCCTGGTGCAGGATGCTCGAGCATGGGGTGCAAAGCTGTGCCTAAGCACCCACTTCTTCTTCATGGGTCTTCCCTCGGGAGAGCGGGGCACAAAGGAGCCCCTGCCCAGGACCCCCGCTCCAGCCTGGACCGACAAGGGCAGCCTTTCCCCGAGCCTGCCTGGGGAGACGGTGGCGTGGCAGCTTTAGAAGAGATAAATTAAACTCATACTGAGTACTGAAGCCATTTACCTGCTTTGAGAGGCTATTTGGGAGAGCAATAGCCTGCGAGGAGGCGAAAGCCACAGCAGCACGGCAATTCCTCTGGGTGCTGCAATGGCTCTGCTCCCAGGAACAYAGCCCTGGCAAGATCATCTCTCCTCAGGTTCCCTTTTGTGTTTTATTCCCTTTTAAAAGACTTGTTTCCCCAGCACGCCAGCCCGAGGAGCCAAGACAAGCTCTGAGTGGCAGCTCCGCCGTGCCCATGGCGATGCAGAGGGCCCGGAGAGCCGCTGCGCAAGGGTGTTTTGGTGCTGTCGCTGCAGCCCCCTTGGGTCCGCACAGTCTCAGGCTGGTGTGAACAGAGCGGGAGCGCCGTGACCTGGATCCCTCCCGCAGCGTGCTGAGGCCCCGAGCACGGGCGCGAGCGGCGGCGGTGCCGGGAYGCAGCGGCACCTCCAGCCTCTCTTGAGCCGGCAGCTCCGCCTCGCGCCCCGGCACCGCAGAGCCGGCACTGCAGGTCTAMTCCTGGCCCTTTCTCACACCTCCGTTTTTAGAAATGCTTTCCAGGGTCCTTTTAGTGCCCCCAGCTGCGTCAGGCACCAGCAAAGCTGGGCTTTAAGTGAGCACTTGTGCGGCCCAGCAGGACGCTCCGCTCCCAGCTGTGCCCTGGTAGGACCCCCCGATCCGCGGGGAGCCGGAGCTCCCAGGCGCGGGGAGCGTGTGCGTCCCGTGCACCTCCCCGCCTGCTGCTCTCACGCGCAGCCCTCTGCCCTCGCAGCATTGCTCCACACAGTGCCCCAAAGGCCCCGCTCCTCTCCTTCCGCAGCCCCTGCCAGCTGCCTGCAAGGAGCAGGGTTTTGCCCCAAACTCCTGTGTCACCAAACACATTATAAGGTAAAATGAAACCCTTTTCTTGGCCTCTGTGCAGGGCGCCTTCAAAGGAGGCTCACGGTGCTCTGGGAGGCTTCGCGGTTGCTTCTTTTAAAAGCTTCTTGAGGTCAGGCTGACTCAGAGTTTCCCAAAAAGCAACAACACTTATTGTTTCAGAACAAACCGAGAGCCTCTGCCAAGCGCGGCCCTGATCACTGGGTCTGCTCTGCGGGGAAGTAGGTGCTTTCTGCACACGTCGAGCCCGACTACATCTGTTATCCCAAAGTTCAAAGCCATCCTCCAGCGCGCTGCTCGCTGATAACCTTTTCCCTGGCCCACGGTGACTTCTGAGAAGTTGCAGGGTGCTGCAGGCAGCGCACAGGGGCGGCCCCGCGGCAGCTCCCACACCACACGGGATGCTCTGCTTAGAGGCACAGCTGACCAGTGCAGCTCCACGGTGCCGGGGCGCATCTGAAAGGTGCTYGCGGGGTCTGCCCAGGGCTCAGCCGCCCCTCCAGCACCGCTGCACGTGCTGCCGGCTGCAGACCAGCGTGCTGAGGCCATGGGATGCGCAGCAGCCCTGTCCTTGCAGGTGCTGTGCAGGAGGTGTGCGCGGGGACGCCGCGGCTGCCGCCCCGGCGGCGTGGTCCTCCCAAGGAAGCGGAGGCTCTGGCAGGAAGAGGCTGCCCCGGAGACCTGCTGGTGACTCGGGAAGGCTTCAGAGTTCCTTGGAGAGCGCAAGGGAGCTGCCGGCAGCACCGCTCCCTCCTGCAGCACGGTGCCCAGCAGCGACCGCACGGCTGCAGGGGTCAACGCCGGGCCCTGCGCTGCCTGCCAGCAGCGGGGTGCGCGCAGGCTGCTCTGCCCCGGGGTAATAGCCACAAGAGCCTCTCCACGTGGAGCTACGGAAACGTTTATTGAGAGCAGAGCCCGGAGCAGGGCTCACAGGGCCCCCTCGCGCTGCACTGCCCACTCGAGGGGAGCAGCATCCCTCCGTCCCACAGACACGTGTGACCTCCGGGAGGAGTGCGGGGCCTGAGCGTCCGCAGCCCGGCGCTGCGGACCTGCCTTGCTGCCGCCCCAAGCTTGTAGTCCTGCCCAGCGCCACCGCTGCAACAGCCACCAAACCAGGACAGGCCCCGTGACTGCCCGCACGCGTGGCCGGRCCATTTCCACCTCGCAGGAAAACATAAATAGGCATTTCGTCAAGTAGGGGCACTTCCTAACCCTTCCGACCTGCAATGGCCAGAGCAAGCCCTGCTCTGCCTGGAGACAGCGCGAGAGGCAGGGCGAGGAAGAGCAGCCCCATGCTCTGCTGCTGCCTCCCCCGCTGCAGCCGGTGCCGTCACGTGCACAGCGGCCAGGTCCCCGCACCAGGCGGGTGTCACCGCGCTGCCGCTGGCCCCTTCGGCGGTGGCCCCGCGCTGCCGGGAAGCAACCACAGGATGCGGCACCAGGACACGTCTATTTACAAAGCGGACTCGCGGTGCCAGAGCAGAGGCACTGCGATCACGGGCGATGCGCTGCCGCCGGCTGCCTGCACCGGGCGAGGGCTGCGCACCGYGTCTCCGGAGCTGCGAGGGCGGCAGGTCCCGGCGGCGCCCACCGTGCAGAGCRGGAGGAGGCTCCGGCGGGGCTGTGCCCGGCCTCAGTCATTCTCGCTCTGCGCCGGGGAGAGAGGAGAGGGCGAGGGGGAGACGTCCAGGTGCCCGGCAGCAGGCACGGGCCCATGCCCGGGCGCCCTCACCTCCATCTTGCTGTATATCCAGCTGAGCAGCTTCGTGACACGGGTGTACACCCCCGGCTTGTTCTTCTGGCCGCAGCCCGTGCCCCAGCTCGTCACGCCAGCCACGTACCAGCGCCCGCCGTCCTCGCACACCAGGGGCCCCCCGCTGTCACCCTGAGTGCAGGGGCAGCGCGGTGAGGCCAGGCAGCCCGCGGAGCCGCTCCCGGCCCCGCCAGGGTCCCGTGCCCGCGCTCACCTGGCACGCGTCCTTGCCCCCCTGCAGGTAGCCGGCGCACATCATGCGCGGCGTCAGGTAGCCCTCGTACACCTTGTCGCTGTTGCACACCTTGTAGTCGATGAGCTTCACCTCGGCCTCGCGCAGCTTCGGGGAGGTGTTGTCTGCCCCGCGGGGCAGCAGTGCGTGAGCGTGGTGCACAGGGAGCTGYCACGCGCGCACGCGAGCTCCAGGGCGCACCCAGGGGCACAGGCACAGCGCACTGGCTGCTCTCCTGCTCTGCGCCCTTCACCCTCACCTTCGTTTTCCCTGGTCTTCCCAAAGCCGGTGATGAAGCAGGACCTGCCGGTCAGGAAGCGCTGGCCATGCATGGGCAGGCAGGCTGGGCGGACCTGGGCTGGGGCAGAGCGGGCGAGGAGGGCACGTGAGCACGGGCTGCAGGCAACGCACCCGCCCGCGTGCCCCGCAGCCGGACCCGCACCGGAGAGCGTCAGCGGCCTGGAGAGCTTCATGAGAGCGATGTCGTAGTCATCATGGTCGTCACTGTAGTTGGAGTTGATGATCACCTGAGAGACAGGGATGCCCTCGGAGCGCTGCTTGAGGTCGGAGACTCCGCCGTACACCCGCCAGTCATCCAGGATCTTCATGCTGTTCCTGCGAGCACAGGGCAGGGCAGCAGGCTGAGACAGGGCACGGGGAGGCCGGCAGGGAGGGCTGCTGGCCGCAGCCTGTGCCCTGTGCAGGAGCATCCCCGGGGCTCACATGAAGAAGCAGTGGGCCGCCGTGAGCACCCACTGTGCGTCAATGATGGTGCCGCCGCAGATGTGGATGGGCCCGTACTGCACGCTGACTTGCCAGGGCCATTTGCTGGCTGAGGTTTCCTTCCCGCCGATGATCCGGCCGGAGATCCGCTGCCCGCAGCCTGGGGGAGAGAGCGGCTCAGCCTGCGGAGTGTGGGGGGCACTGCCTGCCTCCCACAGAGCCCAGCAGCGCCCCGTGTGCCTGGTGCTGCCGGAGGAGATTGGCCACTGTCCCCTTACTTGTGCATCGCAGGGAGACGTACTTGCCCGTAAGGCACTGGGAGCTGCAGGGGAGAAGAGGGAGACCGAGTCAGCAGGAGGCCAAGGGGAGCGAGGCCGGCGCTGGGGAGGCAGCGCTGCSCCGGTACCTGTTGAGGCTCTGCTGGATGGTGTCCCGCTCCTCGGTCACGCTGAGGCTCTTGCCGGAGACGTGCAGGGGGATGTAGTCCGTCTGGGACGCACTGCCAGGAGAGAGGGAAGAGGCGCCTGAGGAGCCCTCCTCAGCCCTGGGAGAAGTGGTCTTTCCCCTGGCAAAGCCCCATTGCTGGGGATGGAGTACAGGCAGCTTGGAGCACTGGCCGGGAAGGGGGGCAGAGCAAGGCGCTCCGTGCACCAGCTGCCAGGTGCCCCAGGGCTTTGGCACGGCACTGGGAAAAGCCAGCCRCGGGGACTTACTTCTGGAATCCCAGCTGCTGGCAAGTCTTCCTGGAGAAGGAGTCGTCCCAGGCACTGCTGCACACGGGCAGCCACTGGCTCTCAGTGCTGGAGTAGACGTGGAGCAGGGAGTGGTCGGAGCTGAAGCGCACTGCGGGAGGCAGCAGCGGGCGCGTGGCAGAGCGGCTCCCCGCGGCGGGCGCCCCCGCTCCCAGCGCGGCCCGGCCGCCCTTACCGCAGCCCAGCTCGTCACTGCGCTGCGAGCAGTCGGCGACGCCGTCGCAGCGCACCGCGCTGTCCTTGCAGTTCTCGGCGGGCTCTTTGTACACGATGCCGGTCTGCGAGCGCCAGAAGAGGACTGGAAGCAAGCGAGTGCCGTGCTGAGGCCCTGCCTCACGCTGGCACGAGCCATTGCCCTGGCCCCCCTGGGCTGCATGTGCTAGAGCCAGCTCGTGCCTAGGCTGCACGGGCGCTGCTGGCTGGTCCTGCACGTGCAAAGCCATCCCTGGGAAGGGGAGCACGCAGTGCAGCCTGCAGCGGCACGGAGCCCTGCAGCCCGTCTCCCTTCCTCCGGAAAGCCCGTCCCCAGACGTCCACCAGATGTCAGGAAAACTCCGGAAACGGGAGAGGCAGCACATGTGCAGCTGCTCCAGGGCCATCCCGCCTGCGGAGCAGCTCCCCAGCGCATTGCCGGGCACAAGGGGCACTCACAGAGCAGGATGAGGGCGGTGAAGAGCACGATGAGCAGGGAGACGCAGAAGATGAGCGCGAGCCGCCTCTGGCTCATGCAGGCAGCTCTGAACATGGAGGACTCTGGCGGCAAGGCAGAGGCAGGGTCAGCGCAGCCCTCTCGCAGCCCTCCCGCGGTCACAGAGCTCCCCCGAGCCCGCAGAGCTCCGCAGGCAGCATCCCCAGCCCCGCTGCGGCCCCGGGCAATGGGCAGCCTCCAGGCCCCGCAGCGGCGCCGSGCTGCCCTGCGCCACGCGGAGGGGCCGCCGCGGCCGCGGCGCGCTCGGAGCTGTCGCCTTACGTGGGCTCTCACAGGCGGTGCAGGACGCCGGCGCCGGGCCGGGCTCCGGGCTGTAGGGCTTGAAGCTGATCCCCAGGACGCTCTCCGGGGGCTGTGCGGGCCGGCTGCCGAAGAGGCTGCTTGCGGGCAAGGCATGGAGGGCGGGCGGGAGGCTGCGGGGCGGCGTGGAGAGCTGCGCGCAAAGGAGCTGCTGCTAGAGCCAGCCGCGGCGCTGCCCGCACACGGGCACCGCGGCACGGGCACCGCGGCACGGGCACCGCGAGCGGAGCTGCCCGCCGCTGCTGCACGCTCGCCTAGGCCGCCCTGCCGGCAAGGCAAGGCCGAGCACTGCTGCGAGAGATGCAGGGCACGGCACCTTGGCCAAGGACTTACCCCCTTCTCAAGGCGGCTTTCAGATTGGCCAAACCGAGCAATTGCACTACAGCAAGCAGCCCTGTCTTGGGTATCGCATTGGTCATGCCATGGCCCAGTTCCTGGGCGCTAGTGCCCCAATTTATACATCTATCTTTAATTAGCCATTTGGAAAAATACAATGCAATTTCCAGCTGTTATTTAGTAATACTTAATAATCAGTGTTTTCCAAGCCCTGAAACATCCTGCACCCTGGAATGCTGCTCTGCAATTGTGTCACCCCGATCCGCGAATTTGCAAAAGAATATTTATTTCCTTTTCTTGAGATCTTTCCCCTGAGAGCATCTCAGCAGCTGCAGCCCACTAGRCCAGCACAGCCTCCTGCTTCCCTCAGAGCAGCCTGTGCACCACGGCYGCTGCAAGTGCTGTTGCCTCGGCCACAGTTTCACGTGTGAAACCTCGAGCGCCTCCAGAGCAGGCAGCAGTGCAGAGGTGCCTGCAGCCAGCGCGGTGCGAGGAGCAGGCGTGGGCCAAGGCCTCATCCTGCGCCTGCACACAGCCCCCGGGGCTGCAGCTGTCCCGGGAATAGCAGCACTGCACGTCCACAGGGCCTCCGGCGAGACCGGCCCCTACCCGGAGAGAAGCAGCCCGCAGCAAAGGGAATTGCACCAAATTAAGGCAAACGCTGTGCGCTGCGGAGCTGGAAAAGCCCRGCTTGCTCCGGCCCTGCACCTGCGTGCCACGAGGGAGCGTGCCGGGGGAGCTGAGCCGCGGGAGTGCACAGACCCCGCTGCGTCTGCCTGTGCACGGGGCTCTTGCTGCCGCACAGAGGGCACGGGTGCGGGCACCGCGGCACCCTTGCCCCGGCTGCAGCCTGCCCTGCGTGCGGCCACCGCACTGCCCCTGCCGCGGCGGCGCGCGCCCTGCGCTCAGGCCCTGGCCTCGCAGGCGCAATGTGCCCTCCCTGGCAGCTCTCACTTCCTGGGCATTATCCGGTGAGTCACCGCTGCCGGCCTGGCCCCGTGCTCCCTGCCCTGCGTGGCTCCTGCTGCGGGCGCGGGGCCCCTGTCCTCTCGCAGCGCGGTCGAGCCCCTTCCTCCTCCCCGCACCTGCATTTCGCAGTGGCGGCAGGTGCCAGCCCCACGTGGCTGCACCGCCACGGGCACCCCGGTGTGCCGGGAGTGCCGGCACTCTCCCCGCAGGCAGCTGAGCGCTGCGCCGCTGGGATAAGCCCTGAGGCTCGCGCACGGCCCTGCGCGGTGGTTCCCTGGTTGTTCTAACGAAGCTACTGCGCTGCTGCGAGTCAAGTTCACGCAGAAAGTATTGCGCGAGCATGCACTGAAACAGCCGGGGGTAGCCTCAGCACCCGTTGCTAGAAAGCACATGCGAGCAGCAGGAAAGCCAGGGCTGCCGCAGCTCCCGCATTGCTGCCTGGCACAGAGGGAAGCCCTGCCCAGGGAAGACGTTTCTCCTACACCTACACGAGGGTTTTGTACATCCCCACACTGTGCAGTTCCCATAGGCACTTGTGACCTCTCTGCAGAGGCCATCGTTGCCAGGCTTGCCCTGTAGCTAGCTAATCTCTGCCTTATCCCGCCAGCACACCGGCACTGCTGCTGAGGCTGAGCTTCTCTGCCCCACGCCTGGCTGGATCCTGCAGCGCAGCCGCAGCAGGCTCTCGTCGCAGCTGCATGCTCACGCACCTCCATCCCCAGGCTGCAAGCATTTCACATTAGCGCGCCCACGTGCCAAGGGTTAAATCACTCTTATTGCCCTCTTCGCAGGAAATGCATGCTCTTTGTCTCAGTCAGGTGAACTATTAGCTGCCTATTTCCTTAAGAGTCTAAAGTTCATTTTTTTTTTAAAGGTCTCTCTCTTTAAAGTTTAAGTTTTAAAGCTAACAGGACCTTTAACTCTCCAGCAACCAGTGTAACTGGTTCCTGCTGCTGCACACACTGGAGTGGAACCCACCACCTAGCCCTTACCACGCTGCTCTTTCTGTAGAGGGGCTGTCGACTGCACTGAACTTGCGGCCACGAGACATTTCCTCACCCTTGCTGGCTTTTGAATAAAAGTCAAGTGCGGAGCAGCGCCTCTCTTGGGAGCGCGCCTGCGGTCTGAGACGCTTTCTGCCGCCCTCTCTGCGAGCGCTACACAGCCGCAGGGAGCGAGGTACGGGCGCGGGTACGAAAGGCCCCGGCGCGAGCGGGGAGCCCCAGGGAAGCAGAGGCCTCTGGCACAGCCGGGACTCGGCCGGCCGCTCCCGCAGCACGGTGGCACGGCTCGGGCGCCTGCAGCCCGGCTCCGCTCGCATCCGCAGCCGTGCCTGCGCGCTGAGCACACCCCCAGGCCCCCAGAGGCTTTTGCAGCGCAGCCCCCGCCCCAGCGAGCTGCAGCGGCTCCAGGCGCAGCTGGGAAACACACCTGGGTGCAGAGGAGCCTGGCACCCAGCCTCGCAGCACCCCTGCAGCGGGCCTCCTCGCCGGGGGTGATGCCCCACAGCCGTACCCGCACTGGGCTGCTCCCCACAGAAGGAGGGTGCAGGGCCAGGCTAGGGCTGCGTGCAGGAAAGGAGGCAGGGGTAGCAAAGGAGACAGCGCTCGGCCGCAGTTTCGGAGTGGGAGGGAGAGCGGAAGGCAGACAACACCTGCCGGTGTCGCAAGCAGAGCCGGGCTCAAGCGGCGTCTCGGAGCAGGAGCCTCRGCACTCAGCTGAGCAAGAGCCACCGGAAAAGTGGGAGCATCAAGACACAGCGCAGGCAGCCGGTGTTTAAATCAGCTGCAGGGAGCTGCCCACAGAGATGATCTTCCTCTTTCCCAAGGGAGCTCCCTGCCCTGTGCTTGGGGCCTGGCCCTGTCGCCTGCCTGGGGAGCTCATTTCCACAGCAGGCTAACACAGCCGCTACGGAGCAGCTCTGTGCTCCTGGGCATGYGACACTCCCCGCCGGCACAGGCTGCACTCGCGCAGCGGCAGCGCAGCCCTGCCGCGAGCTGCACCGCGCCGCAGGCTGCCGAGCACGGCACAGCCCCGGCGGCGAGGCCACCGTGAGTCCCCTGTGCACGCACTGCCCTGCAGCAGGGCTGCGGAAGCCTGCGCAGCTGCGGGAAGCCTCTGTGCCAGCGCCRCAGAGTGGCAGGAGAGTCCGGAGCGCGCAGGGCCATCGTGCCAGGGCGCCTGCTGGGCCCCGTGCACTGCCCCAGCCCGCTCCAGCCCGGACCAGGTTGCCCGATGGCAGCACCAGGCTCCCTGCTGGCAACTATCACAAAATGTTCCCGGGGATGAGTAATCGCTGCTCACCCCATTCCTCACATGGGTAAACTGAGGCACGGGAAGAGGTGACTCTCCGGCAGTTACCGAAACGAGGGAGGTACCTAGGACGGGCTCTAATGGCCCATTTAATTCCAGCAGCCAAGCCGGAGCGGCCCAAGGGGGTGCCCAACATTGGGAAATTTTCTCGGTACRGAGCGCACCACGTCCCAGGCAGGCTGCTGCGGGCACCAGGTGCCACATCTGGTCTGTGGTATCGCCCTGGGCCGCGGGTGCCCTGTGAAACGGTGCTGCCGGAGGCCCCGAGGTGCTCCCAGCCGCAGCAGGCCCGGGTGGCAGCTCCTTCCTGAGGGATGGAGCGCGGTCCAGCCCGTCCGGGCACATGGGACCCAAGAGGATCCTGCTGCCCGCTTTCTGCCCTCGCTCCCCGCTCGCTCTGAGGCCCCAGGAGGGCAAAGACAGGCCCACGTTGTCCCCAGCATCGTCCGTGCCCTGACAGCCGGATAACCACAGGGCTGCCGTCCCGGCAGAGCCGGCAGCGCTCGGCAGGTAATTACGGCAACCTCGCCCAGGCAGCTGAGCCCGGTGCCCGGCCGGGGATGTTTTCCCCATGACGGGACGCTCGCTGTGCCCCAGCGGGGCCCCAGCAGCCTGTCCCTCCGCTGCGGGGAGCGGGCTAAGCGGCCGCGGGAGCGTGGTGCGGGGCGGCCCGTGTGGCGTCGGGAGGTGCCCACCTGCCACCATGGCACGCAGGATGCCCTAAGACGGCACCAAGGCACGGAGCTCGGGGAGAGCCGGGGCTGCTGCTCCATCCCTGCGTACCCCGAGCAGCACCAGCTCCCGCCAGCGGCACCTTGGGCCCAGAGCCTCCCACGGGCATGGGGCTCGCGCCAGCTAACCCGAGAGCGCTCTGGGGAGATGCTGGCCGTSGTCCCCCTGCCACCACGGGCATGGGCGGCAGGGCCAGTGCCCGAGGGCAGCTTGCCCTGGTCCTTATCCCGGCAGGCAGCAACAGCAACACCCAGAGAGCAAGGAGGGAAAGSAGGTCCCCCATGAAACCGCAAAGACAGGCAGCGGTCAAGGGCCACCCAACAACCGGAGTCGTTCCCCAGGCAGGGGAGCTGCGCCTGGCCTTACCGGAGAGGCTTTCCCTTCCATCTGCCGCGCCGGGGCCGGGCGCTGGGTCACAGCTCCATCGCGGCGCGGAGCGTGGAGCGGGGCGCAGGCAGCGCTGCGGGCCGGGCCAGCGTCTGCTTGGCGAGCGTGCTGCTACGTCAGTGCCCGTGCAGGGCGCAGAGCAAAACCGGTGCGACCTGTTCCCCCACTCTACCRCCGCTCTTTCCCAACTGCTCCCAGCACAGCCCGCAAAACAGGTGCCCCGGCCCCAGCACTGCCGGCCGCGGCTACGGGCCGCGCGGCGCCGGCCTCCGGGGCACCCGGGCTGAGGCTGCGGGACTGCTGGCACCGAGAGCTCGTGCCACGCTCCCCGCTGCCCTCGCACCCCGCTGCGTCCAGTGCCTCCATGTGTCACCGTGCGCTAAGCTGCCTCCTGGTCAGCATCCCCGCTCTGGAGCAGAGCCCTGCAAGGCGGGGRCCCCGGGTGCCAAACCCGGCAAAACCCCGCTGTGCTCCCCAGAGAAGCAGGAAGCCACAAGCACCTTTCTTCAGGGGAAGTGCAAACCTTTTATCCCACCTGAAATGCGGCTGCCTATTTGTTGTCCCTAGAGGCTCCTCAGCTTGCACACAGCTGAGTGCCRTGCTGCAGAAGTGACGGTTTTCTGCTTCTGCTCAGGTGACAGGCCACTCCGGCSACAGGGCATTGCACGAACCCTTCCCCAGCAGCCTCCCACAAGCCCATCCGGACACTCTTGTTTCCAGACTGGTTCCCAGCACCATTTACAGTGCCAGTCCCTGGTCTGTCGGGTTCCCCGTCCAAGCACACACCTGAGAAGGGCAGGAGGACAGCGAGGCTGCCCAGGGTTGCAGGAAACCTGCTCAAAGCCCCGCTGGTGTTTCAGGGCACAAAAGCCCTGTGTGGATGCTGCCTGTCCTGATGCCCATCATGCTGACTACCCCTGTTTAGCTTTACCAAGCCTGCTGTCAAATTCAAGCAGCTCTTCCCCCCGCCTGCCTCTTCCTCTGCATCCGCAGGTAGCAGCAACTCTGCTGCCCCACGGAGCCCAGCTCTTCCAGCGAGTCCCAGGGAAACAGGCTCTTCCCCTTCGTGCACCCTTCCTGGCTCCTCTCGGCATCTCCGCCCGTTTCAGCTCCTCTTTCCCACCCCAAAGCAGTGCCCGCTATCACTCGAGGAGGTCCTGAGGCAGCGCAGTGTCTCTCGCAGCTCCCCGTGYCTCCAAGCAGCGCTCGTGGCCTGTACCCAGCCCTGGCACACTGGTGGTTTGTGGCCATTCCCCGAGCTGCCACAGGCCCTGGGCCCTTCTCCTCCAGGGCACAATCCGGCTGGCAGGGCACGTGCTTCCCGCAGGCTGCTGCTTTGGAGTCCTTTGCTTTCAGCGCTGTTTTTGAGACAGCCCTTGGTCTGCGAGAAAACGGGACAGGAATGYGCTATCGACCGAGGCTGCCTCAGAAGCAGCTTCACGGGCAGCTACGTTTCCTGGGCTCTTGCAGCACACCTGTGCCTCGTTGCGCTCTGTCCTACAGGGTACAAGGCTGGAGGGAGATGCTGTGGGCTGACACATCCTCTGCACGAAGGCACTCTCAGATACAGCTGCAGGCAGCAACTCCAGGAATGATTTCTTGCTATTGTTTCTGAAAAGCCACCTACCGAAACCAAGAGAACTGTTTGTCTGGGCTTGACGTGAGCTACCTGGCCTTAAAGGTCAACAGCGCTTGGCACTTCCCTGGTGAAATCCTTGCACCTTCTCTCTGCTGGGAAGCCCCTGTGCCGGGACAGAGGGGTTAATACTGTGCAGCTGGCGAGGGGAGCTCGGGGCGGCCGCGCGGGGCTGGGTGCGCGCCGCTGGCGCTGAGGTTGCGCCCGTGCCGCGGCTGCCGGGGCGGCGGGGCTGCGGCACCCTCGGCGCCGGCCGCACGCAGCGCCGCGTCCAGGATGTGGGCAGAGCTCGGGAGCGGCAGGTGAGCGGCACAAGCTGCACGCTTGTTTTGCTCTCGAGGCCTCTCCTCAGACCCGTGTGCGCCGCAGGTTCTGCCGGGGCTGCTCCCTGTCCCCTGAGCCTGCTCGCAGCGTGCAAGGGCAGGACGGGGCCGTGGCCGGCGGCTCCCGCACGCCGTCTTGCTGCTGTGGTTCTGCAGAAAGATGCGGGGTGCCTTTCTGACTCMGGTGATTTCCAGATTATTAAGAAGGTGGCTATTCCTACCCAGGGATTAGTCAGTGAATTTGAAGATGAAAGGTGGTAGCATTCTCTAGCACTGGTTTGACCCCTGATCTCAAAACCTCTCCTCCTCACACTGAAAGCAGGGCTGGCCCAGGCTGCGGCTGGCTCCCGTCCCTCCTGCCTGCGTGTGCACCAGGCCAGGACTGCCCGCGAGGCCGGCCGCAAAGCTGGCAGCTCAGGATGCCAAGCAGCACTTCCCAGGGGCTGCGGAAGCCTCAGGAAGGCGAGCAGGGCAGCAATGTGGGAGCCCCACCACCCTGGGCAGCTGGGCCCCCAACACTGTGCTCCAGCTATGCCCCCCCAGCTTGGCCTTTTTGCCCTAAGCGCGAGTCCTTTCTCCTGAGCCTGTGCACCCGTGGGGCTCTCCATGCTCACCCCACCAGGGTCTCGCTTCCTCATTCTGGGCCCTGCTGCTCTCACGTCGCGTTTGCATACCCGAAACACAAGCCATGCCTTGTGCGGGACAGGCACGCTCCCCTCGGAGCCCTCTGTAGCTGGTGTCGGTGCAGAGYGGCTCAGGATCAGGAGGCGGCAATGGAGCAGCAGGACATCAGCTGCCTCGCAAGCGAGGGCAGTCAACCCACGGCAGCGATGGCGCTGAGGGCCCTGCTGTCCACGCTGTCCTTCCCACTGGTCCCCCTCTCTGTGTGGCACACTCCTGACTCCCGTGGGAGCCTGCTGCACATGGAGCTGTGCGGAGGGAGCAGCCAGTGCAGCGACGATGCCCCTCGCCCCGAGCAAGTTGGCTGCTGCTCTGGCCACAGTGGCTCTTGCAAGAAGGGTCACTCAGAGGCAGGTGCCGCTTGGCCTCGGGGACGGAGCCAGGCTGCACTTCAGGCTTCGGCAGCGGCTCCCTGAGGAGCCCCCTGCAAAGCAGGGACTGGCTCCTAGCTCTGCAAGGCTGTCCAGAGTGTTCTCAGTTCCTCTGCTGCTTTCTGTCTCCATCCTTTCCAGTGGCTCCCCAGCGGGAAATCCCTGTCCTCTGCACAAGGCAGAAATCCCCCTTGGTGGCMGGAGAGCCCCAGCGCTCTGCGTAGGCCCCAGGAAAGCCGTGGCAGCTGGGGGAGCCCAGGCGCGCTGCTCGTGGCAGCTTGCACGACCCACCAAGCCAGCTGGCCCYGGCTGCTGCTGCTGCTGCTGCGCTCGGTGCAAGCCCCTAGCAGCCCACTGCGGGCCACCATCTATCCCCGCGCCAGGGGCCYGGGGGAAGAGCAGACACATGATTTACTTCTATTTTCCCTTTTCGGCTTGGATAGCGTTTTGCTGAGAAAAACCCCAAGGTCCTGGTTTCGGACTGACGACAGGAAATGCCCAGCCGGGGCCAAGAGATTAGCGGTGGCTGAGTGGGAGGACAGTGAAGGAAAGTGGAAGTCGCTGCCGGGCCCCGTTTCGCCCGCTGCACGGACGCCTCTCGACACGTCACCGAGCCAGCCTCCGGGGGAAAAACAAGGGCTGGGGCGTGTGGCGCGGCAGAGCTCGGCGCCCGCTGCCGCGGCCAGGCGCGCACGGAGGATGCTGAGGTGGCATGGCCGGCGGCGCGGCAGCCCCGGCCCTGGCCCTCGCGCTGCTCCTCGCCCTGCACGCTGCCGGTGAGTAGCCGGYGCTGCGCGCGGGGCCCTGCGGGTGCCGGGGACAGAAGTGGGTGCGCAGCGGGGATCCCGCCGCCCGGCTTGGGGACGCTGGTGGAGTTGGTTCCGGGCTCCCAGCGGTGGCCACTCTTCCTCGTCGCTGTCCCCAGCCTTGCCTGGCCCTGTTCCAGGCAGCGGGCTGCTGGAGCGCGCCGTGCTCCGCGGGTGAGGGTGCTCAGGAGCGAGGGGGGGCGTTTAGCGGCTGAGGCAGTGGCTGAGGAAGCGAGCGCCGCGCGGAGACGGCTGCTGCCTGGCGGTGCTTTGCTGCCAGGTGACCCCGCCGAAATCGAGGCAGGAGGTAGGAAGGTGTTGGCTTCCTGCACCCAGCAGCGAAGCAAACAGGAAGGCAGGAGCCCGCTGGGGAGTCCGGCACCTCCGCTAGCCTGGGGGGTGCGGCAGGCTGAGGGCGCACCGYTCCCGCCTGGTGCGGTGCCTGGCTACTCATCCCGCACCTAGCCAGGCAAGGCACGGGCGACTTGGAGAGTGCATCCAGAGAAGCACAAAATGCGCTGGCTGTGCTCTCGCCGGAGGAGGGAATAGAGAGAGGGATGCAGCGGGATGGCAGCCCCTGGCAAGCAGGCGTTGGTGGCCACACACACGGGATGCTGGCTGGGCGGCAGGGCCTGTCCTGGGGGTGCGTGCTGCGGTGCCCRCCCTGGTGCCCACCGGTGGCCGTGCTGAGACGCGTCCTCGCTCCCGCAGGAGAGCCGCTGCCGGGGCCAGCGCACGTGCGCTTTGCTGCCGAGACCGCGCATCACCTGCTGCGCTGGGAGCCGGGGCCCGGCTCGCCCCGTGACGTGCGCTACGACGTGGAGCACGGCGTGTGAGTAGCCTCGCGCCTTCCGAGCGTCTCCCACGCACCCACGGCCACGGCGCAGCCGGCCCCGTTCTCACGCCGCCGCCTCTCCCGCAGGTACGGCCCGGGGTTCTCCTGGACGGCTGTCCCCAGCTGCACCCGGATCCCGGGGCGCTCATGCGACCTCACCTTCTACACGCTGGACCCGGAGCTGCGCTACTACGCCCAGGTGCGGGCCGTGTCTGGAAACCGCACGTCGCCATGGGAGAGGACCGGCCCYTTCTCCCCCAAGGAAGGTAGGCGGGGGGGGCCACGACGGGTGCGCGCGGCTCCGCCGGGCGCTGCCAAAGCAGACACCTAACGTGCCCTGCAACGCGGCTGTGCGCAGCCAGGCTGCGCATCGCGGGGCAGAGCCTCTCCGTGACAGGCAACACCATTGGCGTGAAGCTGCAGCTGCTGCTGCAAGCCGGCAACAGCACCRTCAGGTACGAGGACGTCCAGAGGCACGCACGGCACTACAAGGTGTACATCAGGCACGCGCGGGACAACCGGACGGTGAGAGACACGTTCCTCAACCCCGTGGGTCCCTGAACTTCTGCACGCCCAAGATAGGGCAGTGCTCTTTTCCGCATGGTTTAGCAGCATACCTGCCGCCTCTTTCTGCAGTTTGGGGTCTGGCTGTTTATAACAGCACTGTTAGGTGCTCTGGGCATGGGGGACAAGGGGGGACACCCCTAGCCTGGCGTGCACACAGTCCAGAGGGCACCAGGGCAGCAACTTGTCCTCTGTTCCTTGCAGTATGAAGTGCTGGAGACCCAGCCGGAGTTCAACATCAGCAGCCTGTTCTGGGACACGGAGTACTGCGTGAGCGTGGAGCCCGTCGTGGCGAGCCGGCCACTCTGCGCAGTGCGCACCGCTGAGCAGTGCGTCACCACCGGCCGCCGGGACGGTGAGCGGGGCGCGGGGCGCCGTGCGGGGAGCCGGCCCCACGAGCGCCTTGCACAGCTCACCTCACCCGGGCGCACGTGTCTTGCAGAGAGCACTGAGCTCCTCCTGAACATCCTCAGCATCATCTTCATCATCACGCTGCTCCTGCTCTTCCTGGGGATGCTGCTGGTCTGCAYGTACATAAAGAAGCCCATGAGGCCGCCATCTGTGCTGGTAAGGAGCCAGAGGAGCTGGCCCTTTCGGTTATCAGTGTTATCAGCGCTGCGGGGCCAGGTGCTGGTTTGGCACAGGCATGGCCAGTGGGAAGGTGGATATGGAGCAAGGATGCCAGCATCTCACCCCCTGGTTTCCTCTGTCCTTGCCAGAAGTCCTTCCTGAAGCAGGGCTCGCTCTGGGTGGAGCAGGAGTACTCCTCATCGGCGCGGYCGGAGCCGGACCTTGTCCAGCAGCTCTTCCTCTGCCAGAAGGCACCGCAGCAGCCCAGCACCTCCATCACGGCGCTCCAGCGGCTGCCAGAGCAGGGTTGTGCGCTGGTGGCACTGCCGGAGCACCGGACTCGCCTGCTGGGGCCGAGCACCGCGAGCAGCGGGGACCGCAGCAGCAGCAGCACTGACAGCGGCATTTGCCTGCACAACTCCTCCCTGGAGCTGGGCCCGGCCGGCCGGGGCCCCGGGGCGCAGCCGTCCACCGGCGAGGACAGCGGCATCAGCCTGGAGAGAGCCTCTCCCCGCCTGGAGCGCCACCAGACCGCGAAGGAGACGCGTGCGCAGCCGGCGGAGCACAGCCCTGCCGCGGCCGCCACGGGCGAGGACCGTCCCCAGGAGGTGCCGTTCCGGGGCTACCTGCAGCAGTGCCAGGGCACTGTAGAGCCTAGGTGGGACAGAGGCAAGGGGCTATCCCCATGGGGACACACGGAGCCCGTGCACGGCACGGACGTCGTGCTGGACATGGCGTGTGCCGAGCTGCCCGTGGCCAAGGGCTACGTGAAGCAGACCCCTCCTACGCCTTCCCGCGGTCGCATGCAGGACCTGCCGGCCCCCGGCCCCCCGCAGCAGCCCCCGGCCTGGGGCTRCCCCAGCCAGCCGGGGCCCCCAGCGCCACATGTGGACGATTGCAGGGGCCCCGTGGGCAGCCCCGAGCTGCTGAAGGCGCCTTTGGAGCTGGGCCTCTCCGGCGGTGCCCCGCTGGGGCCGGCGCCCCTCGTCTCCAGCCTCAGCCCCAACATGTGGCTGTCGCTGCAGCTGAACCCGCTGCAGGCGCTCAGCAAGGACAGCCGCCTCTAGGCACCCGCCGTCCCCGGGCGTCCCCAACTACCTCTGCCGGCAGCTGCCCGGGCGCTGCCGCCGCCCCGATAAGCTATGGCCCTCCCCAAAAGTGAGCGCACCCACGGGGGCTTCGGMTCGCCTGCCCGGGATGCGCTTCCCCATCCTACTTCCCCTTCCCGGCCGCGGCGTGGGCTCCTCCGCCTGACGTGCCTGCAGCGGAGCCTTTCACAACACAGACACCAAAGCTCGCCTGAAATCCCTCGGGACTTTCCTCACCCCACGCGGCCCCCCACGGCCGGTCCTGCTCAGGGAGCCTGCAGGGGCCCGGCCCGCTGTGCATAGACACCTTATTTATTCTATTTAACTTGTAAATACATTGAGGAGACAGTGTTATTTATTAGATGCATCCATCCATCYGTGTGCCCTTCCCTAGGGAAGAGCTGCACTTTCCATGCTTCCATATGGACTTCTCCCCCAAGCACAGGCAGTGGTGCTGTGCCGCACGCATGCGAACGAACACTCACATCTACAAGCGCAAGGCAGCCCTCCTCCAGCTTCCCATGAAGCTAAGGACGGGGTTTGCCGAGCAAGTGTCCCACGCAGCAGCCGGCGCTGCAGGGCCAGCAGCACCACAACCGGGAGCAGCCTGCAGCTGCCTTTGCCACGTGCCCCGGGCACAAAGAGCTCCCAGCTCAGGCAGCCGGCGCAGGCTCSTGGGGCAGGAGAGGAAGCAGCACGGCCTGTGGGGAATGCTGGAACGTATCTCATTTTCTGTTGTTGGGGGCAATATTTTTGCTGTCGAAATGAGAACAAAAATAAAATAGGAAAGACTTATGAGTCTTTCCAGGCCACCAGAGTTTTTCCAGAATCCGTTYTGGTTCATAGCAGCTTCAGCACTGGAGAGTCCCAGCGAAAGCATCAATGGAAACCCAGCTGGGGAGCCCTATTTCAGGTGAAAACATGAATCAGCCCTGTGAGGAGAGTGCTTGCTGATGCCCTGCAAAGTTCCCCTATGTTGTGTCTGGTACGACATTTCTTGCATCTCGACTGCGCTCCCTGCGTCACCAGGGCCGCTGCTCGGCACGCAGCGGCGCGGGCGGAGCGGACTCCAGACAGGAATGGTTTATGCAGAGATCTACGCTGGCTTCCGGCTCTCCAAGCAGCTCTCCATCCATCATTTCGTTTCCACTATCTGTTTTGGCTTTTCTTGTTTTGGGGGCTGGGGCCTCTGCGCGAGCCTTTTTTTAAACTTCCTGCGAACGCGGCGTCACCAGAGCTGAGCGTTCCCGCTCCGCGCTGCTGACGTCGGCGCTGCCGCTTCCTGCGTGCCGCTTGCCGCAGCTGGCCACCCCGTGAGCGGAGCGCGCCGGGGCCGCCACGCTCTTGCTCTCGCGACCCGCAGCGTGCATGGAGCATCGCTGCAGCGCGGGGCTCTCCCCTTCCTGGCGTTTGCACTCAGCTCGACACGGGGCGCACAGTTATCGCGGGCTCCTGCAGCACCCTGCTGCCTTAGCCTCCGCTTTGCACCTCAAGCTGGGTGCTGTGCRCATGCACGTCGCAAGCCATGCAGGTGCAAAGAGCCTCGAGGGCGCGGGCGCAGCAGCAGCGCCGAGCCTGGATGCAGCAGGGCGGCTTCACACAGGCTGCGGAAAGGAGAGAGGAGCTCCCCCGGGGATTTCTCCCCGGCGGTGTGGAGGGGACAAATTCCCATGCGTGCCCAGATAAGTGACCAAGAGGGAAGTGTGAGGCACTCTCATTTCCCCATGGCCTTTTCCCTTCTTGCACAAAAGTAACTCTCAACTTCTGTGCCTTGCTTCCACCCTTCGAGCCAGTTCCCGCTGTTCCTGCCCCCAGTTCCTCAGCAGCTGGCCCACAGCTGTGTGGGCCCCGGCTGCCGCCGGGGCACCGTGGCACGCAGGGAAAGGCGGCTTTCTCCCACGCGTGGGTGATGGACCTTCCCCGGACGGGAAGGGAGCATGCTGTGGCTGGGGACCCAAGGCTGCAAGCTGGGAAACAGAAGCAGCGTGCTGGGAAAGCCCCCGATTCCCCRCAGCATGCAGAGCCGGGTGGCGGGGAAGGCCCTTTGGAGGGGAAACCTKGGGAGTGCCCAGCGGAAAGCGTGCGAGTGCCACGAGCAGGGCAAGGGGGCACGCAGCCCTGGGCCGCGCGGGGGGCGCGGGCGCAGCCTTGCCTGCGCCGCTGCCGCTCACAGCCCCGGCTCGTGGAAGCGCACGTAGCYGCTGCGCGCCTCGCCCAGCGAGCCGCTCACCGTGAACGGCGGCGCCAGCTCCACCTGCAGCGCACGCGGGCCGCTGCGGGACAGCGGGCACGTCAGGGCGGCGCGCTCGGCTGCGGCCGCAGCCCCGCACCGGGCAAGCACYGAGGCTGCGCAGCCTGCTGCCCCTGCACCCGCACGGCCCCGCTCACCGCATGTGGTACAGGTTGAAGACAAAGTCTGTCCCTGCGCAGGAGAAGGAGGGAGGCGATCACCCCACATCCCTGCGCACCCGTGGCCCTCAGTGCACCCGTACTTACGGTGCCAGCACTGTCCCCTCTGGCAGCAGCGGACAAAGGCGTAGATGAAGAGCAGGAGGACCAGCAGGGCCAGCAGGATGCCCACCACGAGCCCTAGCATGCTGTTGGGCTCTCCTGCAAGGCAGAGCGGGCACAGGCTCCACAGAGAGACCCTAATGCTCCCGAAACGTGGTTGGGAGGAGGGTGGGCAGGGGATAGGGGCCAGCATGCCGTGACCCCCACCCAGTGCTGTGGGGCAGCAAGAGCGTCCCGCTGCCAGGCCCGTGCGCAGCGCGGGGAGCAGCACAAGCCCGCGGCATCCCCTAGCCGCCGTGCAAAATGCCCCTGTGCAGAGCCCAGAACCCTTCCCTGGTCCTGTGGCAGGGCCCCGGCGCCAGCTCTGCCCTGCGCGTCCCTGCGTGCGGCGCAGAGCCTTTCCTGGACGGGCAGTTCCCTCTAGAGGACATGCGTGTCAAGGCAGGCTCTGTCAGTGTGCAGGGCTGCCGCTGGGACGCGGGGAGGCTGCGCTGCGCACGGCAGCACGGGTCTGTCCTGCAGGCGCTGCCGGGCCCCACGGCAGGCCCAGCACAGGCCGCTGCCCCCAGCAGCCCCACAGGCAGCCAGCACAGCCGGCGCAGCACGGCCGGAGCGGGAGCTGCTGTGCTGGGACACCCATGGCACAGAGCCCASCGCCGTGCACAGCACAGGCTGCAGCTCCTGCTCCCCTAGCGCCCGGCACGAGCATCACCAGGCACCGTCTCCACTCCCACGAGGGGACGGCAGGGCTTGCACGCACCTGCACGCACGGGCACACACGGAGGCTCCGCGGCGAGCTGCCGGCACACGGCGAGGGTGCCGTGCCTCGCAGCCGCACGAGTGAGACAGCGGAAAGGGATGACCTAACAGCAACTAAATTTAGCCAGATGCCGCTGGAGTGAGAACATTTCCCCTGTGGTCACAGTGTTTACACAGTGAGCAACGCGCCAAATCCTCCTGCAACCCACAGCACTTGCTCGACCTGCCGGGATGCGGCAAAGCCCCAGTGCTCATGACGCTGCCGCCTCCGCGTCACACGGTGTCCCAGCGCGACTGGGACCTGCCTGCCTTTCCCATGGGCCGTCGTGGGGGGCAGCACACGTGGGCGGATGCCAAACCCCACTTCAGCCGGGCCAGGCATGCCCCGGAGCCGGGGGCAGCACGGCYCACCGCCTGGCGCCAGGCCAACACACACGTGCCTGGGTACATAGGAATAGCAGAATACCCGCCCCAGCTCCGTGCTGCGGCGTGGGCACTACCTCCCGTGGGAGGSTCCCGGGCAGCGGAAGGAGCCCAACACAGAGCGCGTGGCGCAGCGGGGCTGGCGCACGACTCGGCCCCTCCTCACCTCTTGACCCAGTCTGCTCCCTGCCCCGGGCACCGCCGGGGCCAGGAAGCTCCTCGCCCAACTGGTTCCCGCCCAGGGCAGAGCGGGAGCACTGGCGGGCCTGGCTGCCCAGGCGAGGGGCAGCCCCCTTGGCAGCAGCCTCCTTGGGGCCGTGGCTGGCTGCTCTCCTGTGCACCACGCAGCCCTGCGGAGATCGAGCTCACCGTGCTGAGAGCCCAGGGGCAGGGGTGCCAGGACCCCCCGGGGGTGGCACCCAGGTTGAGAGGGTGTCTCATGCTTCACGAGGTACTTACCACTGTGCTCAAGCATCATCTCAAAGCCCCAGGCGCGCGGTCAGGGGATGCAGGGGGGAATCGCCAGCTGCACAGGACAGAAAGGGGGAAAGCGCTCCGTGGCTGCCGGGGGAAGAGAGCAGAGAGGGCTAAGCATTACAATCAGAGCAGAGCTTTGGGCGAGCCGAGCGTGGCCTGGGCCTGACCCCGGAGGGCTGCGGGAGCCACGTGGCCAGCGGCACACYGAGCACTGGAGGCAGCCGCCCGGGGCGGCGCGCGCGGCCGCGCGCCAGGCAGCAGAGCCCCAGGGGCGCCCGCAGCCGTGACATAACATCTGCAAACCTGAGGCGCTCCCGCCACGCCGCCGCGCCACCTCGGAGCAGGAAGAGCGCTCRCCACCACCTCCTGCCCCAGGGGCACGGGGACTGTGCTCTGTCCTGCATGGGCCCTAGCAGCGGGCCCAGCACCCGGCAGAACCCAAGGGCTGCAGGGCGCTGGCAGAGGCACAGGCTGCACTTTGCTCCAGAGAAGCTCCCTGGACTCTGCCTGGCTCAAGTGATCTGCTTTTTCTTGTGACATCTGCATCCGGCCCCGTTCCAGCACCTGCACATCCCCACCTGCTCAGAGAGAGCATCCCTCACCCGCAGAGAAGGGCGCAGAMGCCAGAAGTCCCTGCGCTGCCCTCCCTTCTGCAAGGGAGCAGCTGGCACTCCAAGTGCACGCAAGGACAGGGGTGGCGGTGTCCTGGGCCAGGAGCCGCRGGGATGTGGAGCTCTGGGATCTCTGCGCTGGTGCAGCGCCCGGGGCTCGCGGCGGCGGCTCTTCCCTGCCCTCAGCGACAGGAGCAGGGACGCAGTTAGTCACACAGCCTCCGCTGCCGTCTGTCCTGCCCAAGGCCGGGCTTTCTAGCCCAGGGCAGCCGGGGCCGCCCGCAGCCGCACACCCGCTGACCCCGCGCCGGCCCGGTGCCAGGAGCGCGCCCAGCCACCTCCTCCCACGCGCCGCCGCCGGCGGTCCCCGTCACCCRCACCCACAGAGCCGGCAGGTCAGCGCGGCCTCCTCCGAGTGCTGCCTGTGGCTCYAGGCTCCTGCCGCGCAGCGCCCAGCTGCATCCAAAGGGCCTCTCTGTGCCCCAAGCCAYGGGGTTGCTGGTGGGGCAGCCCTGYGCAAACCTGGGCACCCATCCTGCCTGGTAGCACCCATGGGCGAACACAGCGCCTCTTTTCCCCGGGACATGTGTCCAACTTGCCTTGTGCGCCTGGGTTCAGAAGCAGTGACCAGGTGACCTGAGGGACAGGAGCATGGTGGCCCAGTAACCTCGTGCGTAAACTCTTCCCCTTTCCTCCTCCACCTAGTAAAATCTGCTTCAGAAAACAGCTCAGTGCAATGCGGAAGAGCTGGGCCAAGAGCAGGACAGTTGTGGTTGCTCTTACCGTCGGGAAAGGAGCATGCAAAAGTCACCTTGTCAGTCACTCCGTTTCTGAYAAGTTATTTTGTGACAGTGGCTCCACAAGTGAGTCACTTGGCAGCGGTAGATGCTCTGGAGATTACAGCAGGTGATGGTACTGCTGATAGACTGGTGTTATATTACAATACAAATCATAATTCCTGTTTCACAACTCCCCTTGTGGGTTTCAAGGAGTGCTTGGGCGGTCCTGTCCCAGTGCTTTTACAGCCGAGGCAGGGCCGGGCCAGAGCGGCACAGGACAGGGAGCAGGGAGCGCCGCCTGCCCGGGCTCCGCGCCGCCGGGCACCCACGGCTCCGCGCGCCGGAGGGCAGCGCCCGCGATCCCAGGGGCTGCGGAGGACTCGGAGCCGCGCCAGCATGGTGAGTTGCCCTCCGCCTGGCCCCTCTGTGCGGCACCGCTGGGGACGGCGTCTGCTGGGGGACTGCAGAGAGCAGGCAAGGAGCAGCGTCCGGATCCCAGACCTGCTGCTCCCCGGGCCTGCTCAGCTGCACCCGCSGGACTAGGAGCCATCAGCCCGTCCCGGCGGATGCTGCGCACCTGCTGGGCACAGCACCTGCCCGTCCTTGTGCTCCCACTGTCCAAAGCTGCGGCTTTCCAACGGGGAAGCAGGCAGGCAGGGAGCTGCCCCCCTCACAGCTCTGTGCCGAGGGCAAAAGCCCTTCCACAGAAGGTCATGCCCCTCTTTATCCCATTGCCAGCACGCAGGTCCCCTAACTCACCTCCTGCGTGTGCCAGTGGGACAAACGTTGGGGCTCAAGAAGCAGCGCAGGCAGCCAGCCCCACCGCAGTGCAGCTGGTAACCGTAGAGCTTGCTGCCGCCAAGGCCGGGCTTTGCTGGGGAGCGTCCCACCCCGGCACCCCGCGACGTCCCGTTCCCMCTTCGCCGGTGCGGGGCTCGCGCGCTTCCCCGGGCTGGGCACGGCAGCCTCATTAGTCACGGCAGCTAGGAGTTTCCAAGGAAATGGGGCTTGCGCGCGGCACGGAGGTTGGCATGGCTGCGGCCATGCTTGATTTACCCTGCGCAGCTTGGCTCCGAGCGTGGCTGGCAGGGAGAGGGGGAATGCGCGCGGGGCAGCGCCGAGCTGCGAATGCACTGCACATCGCGGGCAGAAGGAACGGCAAAGGAGCAGCAGCGGCGGCCCCGGCTGCTGCGGGCAGGAGCTGGTAGGAAGAGCCGGCCGGCAGGGCAGGGCAGGGCACGCGGTTCCCGCAGGGAACCGTTAGGCTCCCATTAGCCGGGTCATGCCCAGCCCCAGCTGAGGCGACACAAGAGGGCAGCTGGCCCAAGGCCGGCCGGGGGACGTGGGCAGCGAGCGGGGCACATTGCAGAGCTCCATGTGGCCCCTTGCACGGCTGCCAGCGTCCCCAGCGCAGCCGCCCGGCGCAGGGTTGGGCTCTCGCCCGGAGCAGCAGTGCAAACATGCCCAGCCTCTGCTGCCAAGGGAGGAAACAGGCTGCTCCTGCAGGCAGAGGAATGAAAGCACAAAGAGCACAGGCTCCTACACCACAAACTCACTTGGCTTTTGCTCCAGGATGTGCGGGTTTCTGGTAGCATTTGTCTCTGCTCATGCTGGAGAGATGTCCTGCAAAAAARGCCAATCCTTACCTGTCGCAGTAGAGACTAGAAGCTACAGCAAAGGGAATGGCCTTGCTGAGGGCTGGAAGGAGCCTCCAAGCACGGTGTTAATGTGCCACSGCCATGGCCTCAGAAGGACAGCCGCGCGCTCGCAGCATGCAGACAGCCAGGGAGCAGCTCTCAGCAGCAGGGTCCAGGCAGGATTGCAAAACCCTGGGGGGGGAGTTGTGCGGCATCCCCCCAAAGCCGGGCGAACGGCCACTGAACGCTCTCTGGCAGCAGCGTGGTGGTGCCGTCCCGCTGCAACCTGCCAGGGGCAGGATCAGGAGGCAGCAGTGCCGCGTTTTGCTGCTCCAGCGACGGTCACGGCAGGAGCTGTTTGCCGTGTCTCCTAGCAGCGCCGTGGCTCTACCCGTCCTCCCTCGGCCCCGAGCTCCCCCGGGCTGCTTTCTCTGGGGCTCTGCAGGCTCCCGCAGTGCTAGGGCAGCCACCTGCAGCAGTGCTGCCACCAGAGCGTGCCAGCTGTGCCACTGCTCAGGCCWGTCAGGGAGCACAAGCTGTGCCGTGGTGGGCCGGGGGACACAGTGCTTTAACTCAGTGTTTCGTGGCACACCAGCAAGCAGCTCCTGYGTAAACCTTGTGAACATTTAGGCCTCGGTGACATTAAAAAGACAGGAACTGTGTAACAGCAAGAGCCAGTTACCTGAATGGCGTAGGGGGTGCCCTGGGGCAGGGCACGGCCGGGCTCACCCGGGGCGAGAGCCGTGACGTTGCACGGTCGGTGGCAGCGTGCGCACGCAGCTCTGGCAAGGCCCAGCTCTGCAGGAAACGCTCCGGCAAGGACGTGCCAGGCTCCACGTCCCCATAGGGCCTTCACCTGGGCTCTGCTCTTGCGGCCGCGTGTGCGGTGAGGAGTTCATGCGGGGCGAGCTCCCAGCTCCCGGCTGCTCTTCCCCTGTTCTTTCTGCTCCTTACTCGGGTTTCCCCTTCTGGTTTTGCAGGACGAAGCCTCCGAGCGACCGCTGAATGGCACAGGTAATGCCCAGTGGGACAGGAGCATGGCCACACCGAGCCCCGTGCCGCTCAGTCACGCTCCTCTGCGTTGGGTTGCAGGTGCCAGGGCAGGTCCCAAGGCCTCCACGGCACTGCAGAGGTTCAAGCGCATCGGCATCCCCATCCTGGTGGCCGTGCTCGGCCTCGCCAGCCTCATAGCCATCGGCTTCTTCAGTACGGCCGCTGCTCTCCCCCACCATCGCTGGGCTCAGACGGGACCAGCTCGGTCCCTCCCCACCAAGCCCTGATCCCGGTTCCCCTGCAGCCAAGGTCTACCTGGACTACTACTACTTCTTCTGCAAGCAGCCGCTGCGGCTGCTGCCGCTGGAGCAGGTGTGCGACGGGCAGGCCGACTGCGCGCAGGGCGAGGACGAGGCCAGCTGCGCCCAGGGGGTCCCCGACGGGCCACAGGTGGCCGGTGAGTGCAGGGCGCTGCAAACCCCACGCAGAGCCTCCGCCGGCCCCGGCAGGGCTGACGCCACCTCTCGCTCCAGTCCGCATCTCCAGGGACAGATCCACGCTGCAGGTTCTGGACACCGTCACCGGAGCCTGGTGCAGGGTCTGCCACGACCACTTCAACCTCACGCTGGCCAAGGCGGCTTGCGAGCAAATGGGCTACAGCAGGTAGGAGGCTGCTAGCTGCCCTGCTTCCTGAAGCGCTGCAGCGCTGAGTCCCCACTCMCGGTCCCCCCATGCCAGAGCAGCCCCCCGTCTCCAGCAGCATGGCCCCAGGGCTGGCTCTGTGCCTAGCGCAGCTTTTCATCCGCAGCCCCTACAACGGAGGCAGGGTGTGGGTCACAGAGCTGCTCCCATTAGAAGACTGGCATGGCTTTGCCTGGGCTGTTGGTGTGCTGGCTTGGTGCTGCCCATCCATGGCACCAGGGCTGCGCATCCCTCGCAGACCTCCTCCTTGGAGCACCTCTCTGAGGCAGGCTTTTCCTCTGAGGCATTGGCTTGCAGTGCCCAGCTTAGCTGCAGCTGATTAAAGCAGAGAAATCTTGACAGCCTCTAGCATAAGGTGCCAGTCCTAAGAAATGAGGGGCTGGGTGCCAAGAAGATGGTTCTGGTCTGCAGCGGCAGCATCACTGGCCCCAGGTGGATCCTTGCTCCCCTGGGAGCTGGGGTTGGAGCGGAAACGGTGCTATCCGTCCCAAAGGTGCAGGTGACCGCCCCTGAGCCCGTGCCTCTGCTCGGTGTCTTGCAGCCGCCCAGCCTTCCGCGCAGTGGCCTCGGGCGGCGAGCAGGCGCTGCCCCTGCGCGAGGTCGCGCTGAGCGCCGGCAGCCTCCGCGTGCGCGAGGCAGGCAGGTGAGGGTGCCGCCAGCGAGCGGCGCCGGCCGCAGCGCGCGCAGMCCGTGCTCACGCAGCGCCGTCCCTCCCGCAGGAAGTGTCTCTCGGGCTCCGCCGTCTCGCTGCTCTGCTCCCGTAAGTACCGTGGCGCGGGGCGGGGGGGCCACGCGCCCTGCACCTCGGGCAGCAACGCGTGCAAGCCGAGAGCTGCGCCTGCCCGGCGCTGGGCAAGCGGTGCGGAAGGCGCCAGGACGGCACCGCGCTGGCTCTCCCTGCGGGCAGCAGCGAGGGCAGGGCGCTGCGCGGCCCTCGGCGGCCGCCAGCGCTAACGTGCTGCTCCACGGCGGCTGGCAGAGGCGTGCGGCGAGAGCAGCCGGGCCCCGCGCGTGCTGGGCGGGCGCCCAGCGCCCATCGAGGCCTGGCCCTGGCAGGTGAGCCTGCGGTACCGCCAGGAGCACATCTGCGGCGGCAGCATCCTCGACGCCCGCTGGATCCTCACTGCCGCGCACTGCTTCAAGTGAGGCCTCGGAGCCGTGAGGCGCCGCCGCCGGCCCCGTGGGGCTGCCGCGGGCTGGGTGAGGGCAGTGAGGACCGCGTCTCCGTGCAGGAACAACCCCCTGGTGCAGCGATGGCGCGTGAAGGCCGGCTCCGACCTGCTCTCGGGCAGCGCCAGCCTTGACGTGGAGAAGGTCTTCCTGGCCCAGACGACGTCCGCACCTTCCAAGGATGATGACATCGCGCTGGTCAAGCTGCGCTCCCCGCTGCACTTCTCCGGTGAGCGGGGGTTCGGCCGCCGGGCCAGGAGCCCGGGCACAGGGAGCCAGGCTCAGAGCACGGCTCTGCCCCGCAGGCAGCAGCAAGCCCATCTGTCTGCCCTATTTCGACGAGGAGCTGCGCGCCGGCACCGCGCTCTGGGTCACGGGCTGGGGTTACACGCAGGAGCATGGTGAGTGCCGTCGAGGGCATGCCGAGCACCCCGGCCACCCTCCTCCTCCTCCAGCACGGTGCACCCAGCACGGGAGAAGAGAGGGGTCCGGGTGCTGAGCAGGCGCCCCGCACACAGGCAAGTTGTCCGAGAGCCTGCAGGAGGCGGAGGTGATGCTCATAGACAACCAGAGCTGCAACCGGGCCGCCTACCACGGCGAGGTGACGGCGAGGATGCTGTGCGCGGGCCTGCCCCAGGGCGGCGTGGACACGTGCCAGGTGAGCAGGGCCCACGGTGCCCGCAGAGCAGCCGCGCACGCCGGGCCGGCTCGGCGCCGGGCGCGCGCTGCCGCCTGCTCAGGCTGCCCGGCTCCGCAGGGGGACAGCGGCGGGCCCCTGCTCTACTCGCACGGCCGCTGGCAGGTGGTGGGCATCGTCAGCTGGGGCCAGGGCTGCGGCACGCCCAGCACGCCCGGCGTCTACACCAGCGTGCGAGCCTACCTCAACTGGATCCACACCGTGCGCAGGGTCAGTGCGCGGCCTCGTGCGGCACGGGGCGCTGGGAGGCAGGCGCGCTGTCCAACACAGGCATCTCCTCCTCTGCCCCTCCAGTCGGAGCTGTGAGACCTGCGGGCCAGGTCCCCTCCATCCCCGACTTCCCAGCCCTCCTGCACTTGGCTCTCCCGGCCCTGGCAGCAGCTGGGAAACCAACCTGGAGCTGCTGAGGACCTGCAAAGCTCGTGACCCCGCTGGGCAGGCTGTGGCTTAGCACGTCCAAGGGCAGCCACGGCAAGGGAGGGCAGCTCGGAGCAGCGGCACCAAGCCCGCGGAGCAAGTCGCCTGGCCCAAGCTGCCTTGCCGAAGCGGAGAGCAGTTCATGGCCCCGGGCCGCCGTGCTGCGTCAGGCGGGCTCGTGCGCGCCGAGGCTGCTGCTCGCCCCAATTCGGCCCCTGTCCTCCTTCGCGCGGAGAGGCGATGCTTGTGCTGGCGCAGACCCCCCTCTAAAAGAAAGGATATGTTTTTTTCACGCAGTCTGAGACACAGTTTATTCCTCTTTGCCTTTTTTTAAAATGAGGACAAAGAGGGGCTTTTCTAAGAAAGAGAAGGGGGCACAAATGTTTCCAGAAAGACAGAGACTCTGGAATGGAGTCAACCTGGAGACTCTCTTTTCCTTGGGAAAGGTGCTGGCCACCCACGCTGGGGCTGCAAGCCCCAGAGAGCACTCCCAAAAAGCCAAGCTGGAGAGCATTTCTCTAGTAAATATAATCTTTATTCCATTCAAGGCAAAGCTTGCTAAAACTCTACAGTGCAAAATGTGTTTAAAGTTGTAACACAGCGTGTTGCACACACCCTGCGTGGGCTCGCAGCTATCTCCTATGCGTGTCTATGCACCTACGCACACCTGCGTGGGTCACAGCACAGCACAGCACAGCACCCGTGTCCAGCAGTGCCATCCCCAGGGCACAGCGCAAGAAGCCCCAGGGCCAGCACGGGCCCCGCAGCAACCCCCTTCTTCCCCACGGTGCTGCCTGCACCACCTGCACGTGCATGCCTGCAGTTACAGCTCCAAAACTGCTTATGTGGACTGCTTTCCTTCAAGCCAGAGGAATAATCCATGCATAGTACAGCATTGCATATCCTGTGGTAAGTGGAGCTGGGTCCAGATACCGTCTAAAAAAGGCTGGCAGGTTAGGACAGCTTAAAATAGTTCTTCCAAAAAAAAAAAAAAAAACACCAAAAAGCCCCCCAAAACCTCCCTCCTCTTCTCACTGTCCTCTCCCCTGGGAGGTCTTCCCCAAGGATGGGCCGGGGGCTCACAGGATGTCTGGGGGGATCCTCCAGATCACCTCTTGGCAGCGGGACTCACGGGGAACGGGCAGTCCTGGGGAGCCAAGCGATCTGCCAGAGGATCCTGCGGGTGCCTAGGGCAGAGACGAGACCGGGATCCCGGTGCCTGACTCCCACTCCTCCCCTTCCCTAGCAGCCAGGGAAGCCGGCGGGCACCATGCAGCCCCACCGTGGTGGCACTGCCGTGTAGCCAACAACAGCAGCCAGGAAGGGAACGAGTCACTCCCCAAAGCACACGGGCACCTTGCAGAACTACCTCGCTCCCTGGGTGGTGCTTTATGCATCCAGTTCCTTGGAAGCCCAGCGAGGCTCTACACGGCCAGCAGCAGAGCGGGGCATGCGGGTGTGCTTGCATGCCTTGCCTTCTGCCAGTGAGCTCCCTCCTTTGAAGCACAGTGGCTAGTGTTCCCGAGAAGCCCTGCTCGTGCACTCCCCACAGGGCTCCAGTGCTCCTGAACCGCAGCAGCACACGGGTCCTCCCCGCACACCCTCTGGCTTTGCACCTGCAACGTCCTCCTGCAAGGACCTCAAAGCATGGGACAAGAGCGAGCCAAGGAAGCCTCACAGCATCCCCTGCGAGGTAGAGCACTGTTACTATCCCCATTTTACAGGGGGGGAAACTGAGGCAGGGCGAGGCAAGGTGCCTTGCCCCAGGCCACGCAGCCAGGCCGCGGCAGGAGCGGGCTGGAGCAGCCCGATCCCACTGCTCTCGCCGGGATGCAGCCGCGCTCCCTCCGTGCCCTGTGGCCGCAGGGCCACAGCTGCCTGGGGTGAAAGGGAAACACAGGCTGCCTTTTCCCCGCGGGAGTTGGGTGTAAGAAAGAAAATCCACGTAACGGGCAGCTCGGCTACGGCAGCGTCACTGCTCTGAGCGCCTAGTTTCAAGAAGAGGGGCACGCGAGGAAGAGCGGCACCACCCCAAGCCCAGGGGAGCTGCCTGCCAGCGCTCAGCATCACGCAGAGGGCACGGGCCACCGCGAGCAGGGCGCACCGGGCCGCCCGGCCGCCGCAGCCGTCCCGCCGGCCCCCGGGCCGCGCCACGCCGGGCTGCCCGCGGGGCTGTGCCCGGGCACCCCGCGTCCCGGCCCCGCGGCTCCCTCTCGCCTCGGTCGGAGCAGAGCAGGCAGCCGCCCGCGGGCACCGGGGCCATCTCCAGCGGCAGTGCCCGGGTCCCACGGGAACTGACGTCGGCTCCGAGAAGCAGTGCGGGTTGCAGGCACGTGGGTAATAGAAACATGTCTCAAGCGCCAGTAGTTTGGGAGGAAAGCAAAAGGGGAGCCGGGGGCCACGGGCCTTCATGCCTTGGGGGCCACTTTCTGGTCCGCCTTGGAGCCGGCCAGGCCGTTCTCGGTGTTGTCGTTCCCCGAGGAGCTGACAAGGCACTCCTTCCTGAGGGGAATCATAGAATTATAAAATCACAGAATCCTGACGGCTGGAAAAGACTTTCAAGATCATCAAGCCCAACTGGAAGCCCCTCATCACCATGCCTGTTAAAGCATGCCCCCGAGTGCCTCATCTACACATTCTTTGAACACTACCAGGGATGGGGACTCCACCACTTCCTTGGGCAGCTTGCTCCAATGCTTGGCTACTCTTTCCGTGTATAAATCTTTCCTAATATCTAACCTGGATCTCCCCTGCTGCAACTTGAGGACATTTGCTCTTGTCCTATCAGTAGCTATTTTGGAGAAGTGATTGAACCCGCCGCCTCCAGCCCCACTCACTTCCTGTCCTGTGTCTTCTTGATGATGAAGAGGACAACCTTCTTGACCAGCATGAAGAGGATGAGCAGGCCGATGAGCCCGCCCACGACGCCCACGATGATGAGCGTCACCGTGTTGTCGGTCTCCACCACTGCCGGGGAAAGGGCCGCGAGGGGCTCAGCTTGGAGCTGGGGCGAGCTGCCCGCACGAGGTCCCTCCGCTCACCGCCCGCCGCACGGATGCCGCAGGCCAGAGGGACGAGGCCAGCACTGCTCGCGGGGGCGCAGCTGCAGCGAGGAACCCGCGGGTTCATGTGCCCCTGGCCCCGCCACCCCTCGCGGCACTCACTCTTGTGGACCACGGTGAGGAAGATGGAGGCACTGTGCTGCGCGTTCTTCTCCTTGGGGTTCTTGACGTGGCACGTGTACTTCCCGGCGTCGCTGAAGTCCACCTCGTTCAGCAGGATGGAGATGTTGTTCTCCTTGCCGGTTGTGGAGCCCACGAACTCGACGCGGGGGTTGCGCCCCACGAGGAAGGGCTCCGACATCTTGCTCTTTATCTTGCCGTGGTAAATCTGTAGAGATGGACGGGGTCAGCACCGGCACCCCAGGTGAGGAAGAGGCTCGAGTGTTCGCCCTGCCCCACTGCACAAACGGGACCGGCCACATGTCCCAGGGGCCACCGAGGGCATCAGAGCCACAGATCAGCAGGGCAGAGCAGATCAACGCAGCAATGGTAAGGAGCATGGCAAAGAGCAAAGCATAGGCTTAAGAGCACCCTATTCCCCAGGGAAGCAAAGCCACACAGTATTTCAGAGCAAGCAGCAGTGGAGAAAGGAGCCAAAGACTTCCCAAAGTGCAGACCTGCTCCTATGCAGGCAACTTAGGAGCAAGAGGAACGAAGCGGGTTGGTACCTAGGAATTGCACAGAAATAGCTGGACTCAGGAGCAGCAAAATGGTAAAGCTCCAGACCAGCTTTGCAAAAAGCAGAAGTGTGCACGGGGACAGTGTGCCCGGTTTGCAGGGTCCAGTCCCCCGAAGCTGGACGCAAGTGCTGCTCTGCGCTGGGGAAATCCACATGGACTTGCCAGGAAAGCAGAAGGAAAGCTCAGAGAGCTACCCACCATCTCTGTCGAGTTGAAATACCATGTGAAGACCAGGTCCTGGAAGCCTATGCAGGTGGTGAAGACGCAGGGTAGCAGAACGTTGGAGCCATTCAGGGCCGTCACAGTGTTGGTCTTGCCCACAGACACCTCCAAGGCGAAGGCGATGGAGATGTGCAAACCTGGCGGGGAGCGGGGAGGAGACCCTGAGGACAGCATGCTGGCAGGGAGCCCCAAGCCGTCCTTCCCCAGGCCTGCTCCCGGCTCCGGCCAGGGAGAGCACGAGGGCCTCGCTGGAGATAGCAGTGCCCTGCAAATAAGAGCACGTGCTTTGCTGGCAGGGGACGTGCAGGCAAGGCCCTCGCCTCCTCCATGGGCCCACGCGGGGCCTGGTGGGGGGAGCAGAGCAGCCCACGCCTCCGGGGCAGCTCGGTGGGTGCAGGGGCCCCTGCTCCCACAGGACTGGAGGCAGCTGAGCCCGGCTCGCTGCGAGGCAGAGAGGATTCAAGGGGAGCCGTGTCTCACCAAGGAGAAGGCATGCAAATGAAAGCCCCTGATCCGCACGTTATCTACAGCGCCTCAGCTAAACATTAAAGCTGGCAAGGGGAAGCCCGAAGCAAAGAAGAGCTCTCTGTTCCTAGAGCCACGAGGTCAAATGCTAATTAGCATTGCTGTGCTGGCCGGCCGCCCTTTGGACTGTGCCCCCAGCGAAGGGCTCAGGCCGAGCTGGTGCAGCAGGCTCCTTACAGAGGCTGTGCAGCACTAGGAGCAGCATCCCAGCAAGTCTGCCTTGCAAAAAGCTTTGCCTCCCGCTGTAGTTGACGGATGACCTTCAAACTGCAGAAGGCAGCTCTGCTGCTCCTCTCCTCCCCATTTGCAGAGCAGAGAAAAATACATGGAAGGAGCAGTCGCAAGCCCAGCTCCAAGAGCCAAGGGCACGGGTGGCAGCTGCCGGGTCCTGCACAGGGGAAGGGCGCTGCCTTGCTGTGCACCGGGGCCAGCAGTGTCTGCACGATGCCCCTCCTGGGCACAGAGATGTTTTGCTTTGGAGCGACGCGCAGTTCCGGAGCGCAGCCCTGCCTTGCTTGCACCTTGTGGCCAAGGCAGCAGAGCATCCCGCTGCCGCTCCCCAGGCCAGGGACCGCGGGAACCCGTCGGCACTGCAATGCCTTCCCAGCGCTCTGCCTTGCTGGGGCTCCGACTGCTCTGTCCTGTCTCATGCAGGGTGCGAGCGCTCTCCTCGCCCTCCCCACCAGAACCTTGGGTACCGAAGGAAAGGCTGCTCTCTCAGAGAAGACACCAGACAGCCAAAATCACAAGGATCACAGCTCCCTGGAAGCCAGCGTGCAGCTCCCCGACACCTGAGCTCGGAGGAAGCGTCCTGTGCTTCCGGGCGGCTTCTCCGCAGGCGCCTCGGCTGTTCAGCTGTTCTGCTGCACGTGCTGGTGCTCCCAGGCGTGCCCGGCCCGGCCGCGCCGCCGGCTCGCACGCGGGCCGCGCTCCCTGCTGCAGTGCTGCATTGCAAGCACTGCTGCATTGCAAGCACTGCAGCGAGCCACTGCCCTAACTTTGTGCAAAGAAGCCGCTCCCACTCTGCTGGGGAGGCTGCACTCGGTGCGAGGGAGCCTTCCCCAGCAGACAGAGGTCTCTAGCAGCTGCCCAGCACCGTGCCCATGCCAGGGAGGGCACTCCAGGGCCAGGAGAGCGTGCAGGCGATGGGAGCTGCTTCCTGGGGACGCCGGCTTGGCAGGTGTGGCCAAGCAGGCAGGTCCCTTGCAGGGGACAGTTACTTACAGGAAAGACGACTCCTTGCAACTTGTAACACTTTTAATCCTGTCTGCCACCATTATAACATCGTGAGCATAATCTGAATTGCATGTGTGGGCCAAACGGAGGCTCATTTTGTTCCTGTCACACTGTGATCTCAGGAAGACAGAAGCGATATGTTACCACTAAATAAAGCACAGAGGAAAACACATTGAGAGTCCGGAAGATCCCTTCCTGAGCCTGCTGCACCAGCTGTCACCCTGACTTGCTTTACGCCCATAGCTGCTGCCCTGCGCACCCCGGTGTGCTGCTTTGAGCTCCTCCGCTCGCTTGTGCGATCCACCTGAGCAGCCCCTGCCAGGGAAATGCTGCCCCACAAAGGCTTGTGAAAGCCGGCGTGAGCTGCCGGCACGGGCACTGGGGCACAAGCAGTGCTGCTGGGCTGGCCAGCTCCGCTCCGCCGAGAGCCGAGCCCAGGCACGTTTGCTGCGGCCGGGCCACCCAGGCCCCAGCCTGCCCTCGAGCGAGCGCTGCGGGGCAAGGCCCCCCAGCAGCCCCAGGGGAGCACAGGCATCTCGGAAGCACTCGCCCACAGAGCTCCGCACAGAATCGCTCCCCTCCCACCTCCAGGCTTCTGGCCCCCGAGAGCAACCAGTGAGGCAGAGTCCCTGTTCTCAGTCTTGCATCCTGCTGCCCAGTATCCCTGAGCCTCTCCTGGCAGCACGATTCCAGCCTCCCTTGCTGGAAGTACCTGGCACTGCATTTAGGAGGCAGGACTCTCAAAGGAGAGCAGGGAACAGCACCAAATCCGGCAGGGAGTCAGGCCCTTACACACCTCTAGCACCTCCAGCTCTTCTAAAATGCACTGAAGAACTACACCCTGTAAAATGGCTCTCCCGGGAGATTCCCTGAGGTAAGGGCTGCAAAGGCACCCCTTGCTTTTCAGCCCTCTACACCCATTAGCAAGAGGTCGACCTACAGAAGCAGTGGCCAGCGAGGGGCTTGGAACGAGCTCCGGCTGCACCCGCGGCAGGGAGGGGATGGCTGCAGCTGCCTTCCTTCTCTGCACAGCCAGGGCAACGTGGGTGTCCCCAGCAGGGGTCCGAGTGTCATGCTCCAAGCAGTGACCCTGCACGATATTTTGTCCCCAAGCTGGGGAGAAGCGCATGCAAGCGGTTGTTTCACGAAAGAGACTGGAAAAAGAAGGACCTGTCGGCGGGCGTGCCGGCGGCTGTGTTGAAGCAGCGCTTTGCTCCCCCACGGCTGCTCCCCCGGTCACGTTAGCAGGCAGGTAGCAGCGGTCCCTGCTCGCAGCAGCAGCAGCGCAGAGCAAGGCAAAGCAGGACGCAGCCGCAGCGCTCACAGAAGAAAGCTCTGGTGACGGTAGCGGCTGCTGCAGGCAGGGCAGGGGGCTGGAGGCAGGACTTCGGAGTCCTCTCCCGGACTCGGCTCCCGAAGTCACCTTGGACAAGCCACTTATCCTCAGTGCTTCGGACTCCCGGTCTGCAGAGCAGAGACAAGTGCTTGAGCGCCGGGGGAGGGGAAATCCGTCGCAGCGGCGGCGTCCGGCTGGATGCAAAGCTGCGGCGCGCGAAGCGGGGCCGGCGGGC